AAGCTTCGGTGAAATAAACTTGTTGGTAATTGTCAGTGAGTTGATTGGATCCCTTTTATATCCAGAGGGGCATGCCCAGGGCATAGAGAGGCATGCTCTTCACAAAGGCATGCCTCCTGAGGCATGCCCCAAAAATTTGCCGTGCCCCCAACCCTAACTAGGAGCCTTTGTTTGATGTCTATCAGGTTCAACAATGCGCATATAATGATTATGACACAATTGTTGTCCAATCATTAAGTAGTTATAATCAGCATAACTTCCTTTTTTTTGGGCTTTTTCATATGCCAATTGGGTAAATTGGCGAAAGCAATTAGTATTTTCATTGCAATTATGGACAGAGCATGGCCCTTCATTTTTTGGATAACCCATAATTAGAAATTTTTATTCAAAATTTTATCAAAAGTTTTATAAATTTAAGTTTTGAAGCAAAATAACGTGTTGATAGTAAAAGGCGAAGAATAAATTTCAATTTATATACAGCATACCAAAAAAAACTATAACGCTAAAAAAAAAAAAATAAATAAAAAACAACGAAAACAACGCGAATTTATTATATAACTAGCTTCTTGCTGTTTAATATTAATACTAGTCTTAACATTTAGATTAACATTAAATACCGAATTAACATTAATATTATAATAGTAATGCCTCTCACGCGAGAAGATGATAAATATCTTCCCACAAAATACTAGTAAAAGAATACGTGTAATTTTACTCAAATACGTGTGAGGTTATATTACATCTGATAAGTAATTTGCGCGATCGATGTATAGTAGATATGACTTTATTAAATTAACCAATCAGAATTTTTAATTATGTTGATCATCATCAACCAATAAAATCAAACTTTACCAATGCTTTCTTTAGACTCATATATCCGCGCCTCTGTGTCTCGAATCCTATTTGTTGTGCAGAAGATATATTTACTTTTGCAGTCTCTGGTGAGCTTGCATAGACCGTTACGGTTGATCAAAACAATTTTACTACACTCGCTCACTTTAGAATGCATCACCATAAACTATCCAACTCATGTAAAGATGGCAAGATGAAAACGCCTAAATCATTTAGATACAAGCCATTTTATGAAAGATTTGAGAAACCCGAAATCAAAAACCACAGTTCTACCAGATATTTCAAGGACCACCTCCAAAGCCATTCAAAGGAAACGAATTTTACACATCAATATGAAGATTATAATTCCACATTTTCGTCAATGGATACGTCTCATGATGAGCAATGGACGCAGCATCTCTTCGATGTGATGGCTGAAGATGAATTTGATTACTATCAAAATTCTTTTTATTATGAAGAAAGAACTTATGATTCAAAAGGTATAGACAGCTTGTCTGAGGATGATTATGCTGCATTCATTCGCAAAGGCATGTATGAAAAGCAACATGAACAAGAATTAAAGGATCGAAGAAAAAGAGAAGACGAATTTAAACAGAAACAAAAGATAAAACAGAGAAAATTGGCAGAGATGCAAGCTGAACAACAACGGTTAATGCGTCATGAACAAGCGCGCTTACAGGAGATTAGACATGAAAGGCGAGCCTTATATTTAGCTCGTTGGAAACAATTTGATGTCAATGGACAATCATCGATTGAATTCAAAGATATTCCATGGCCTACCGCCGATATAAAAAGACTATCAAAAGTCAGCGTAGAGGATTTTTTATTATCAGGCATTGAGGATAATTCTGAAATCAGATCTATATTACGTCAGGAACGGATACGTTTTCATCCTGACCGTTGGCATCGATGGATTAGGCGGGTGCCGACAGAAAAACAAAAAAAGAAAATAATGGAAACTGTTACTGAAATTTCTCGTACAATTAATGTGTTGTGTGAAGAAAAATGTCCTTAAATACTATTTGATGTTAAGTTGGCTAATTCTGCTTAATAAAAAAATGTCTCGTTGCTCTATTCCGTATAGTGATGTTTCTGTGATTTTGATATGGATCCGTATAGACTGGAGGCACATGTGAGATATAATGCTTAAATCATCACATGAAAATAATGCAAAACAATTAAATATGTTTTTTTTTAAATCTAGACTGCTTATTATTTATAACTTCTTTACAATGGTGACGTAAATGTTTCTACACCTATACTTGACACAGCAAAGTACATTCGGGTATTAGGTCAGGTCTCTCAGTAAGTGTATAAGGAGCTACTGTATAATCTGGTTTACTAAAATGCAATTAAAACTTGGTTCTCTAAAAAAAAGATCGGCGCCTTCAAAAACTCCTGAATTTACTGGCAAAAATTTATGATACAAATAATAAATAAATATATATATATGAATTTTATAACTTTCTTTTTCTTGTAAAAAGGGATAAATTACCTTTGGATTTAGCTTAAAGCAATATTTTGTATCATTTATGAATTGTAAGTTACTATTATTTTCGTTTAAACCTGATTGCAGGAACGTTACCAAAACTTCCCTGACTAACATTCAAGATGGCTACAGAATAATTAAAGGTTATACATACTTTTAATCAGTATAATAAAACGATGCAAACTTACTATTTTTTCTTGGTAATCTTTTGCCATAAAAGTGCTTATCTCTAAATTTTACAACACTTCTAGTAACTGGTCTTGGTTCATTATATTTTGGGTCATCCAAACTAATAACTGTGAATGAGCTGTCGAATGAAAAAAATATATACATAATATATATCAACATCATGAGTCAATTTAGAATATAATAACCATGTTAATATACCTAGAAACAGTCTTTCTTTTGATTTTTTTTTTCTTACGTGGTGGCTCTATATATTCATCTTTTGTCTTTGAGATGTTCATGTTAAATTCAATTTGGCTTCGGGAAAATGCTAACTTAGTCAACAGCAAACACTATTATTGTCATACGTAGTATATATATAGAAAGTAATGAATGTGTAATGCATATTTTTTATAGTGTTTGATCGGCAAGCTAAAAAAAAAACTGGCCTATCGCTGTTTTCAAACCAGAACCGTTAACGTTGACGTGGCTGCGCGAGATCAATCACAATAAGGTTCAAGTTAAATTTTAATTCCCAATGCTTTAATCCTCAAATTCTTTAAAACTGAGCTTTTTCTTTTAATAGACCTGAAAAATTTAAAGCTTTGGACTTGTAGACGACCAGATAAAAGGCAGTGTCAATTATAGATTTATTCGGTTCTCCCAAATGTAAGACTAATAAAATAAATTAGATTATATTAATCACGAAAGGTTTCTTTCGAATATTTGGATTGAATAGTTCTTTATTCCTCGTGATACTTCGGGAAAAAATTTATTTAAAAATTATTTGCCAGATAATAATGATACGTAGGGTCCAGTATTGGCTTGACCAGACCAGTTTGACCATTGGACCGACCAATTTGACTAATTTGACCGGTCTGGTCAAAGGATTTGTGCTGGTCAAATTGGTCAAATAGTATATTTAAATACATATAATATATCAGATATAATTTTATGAACTGGACTAGATGGTGCCCTTATTATAAAAATTGCCAATATCTCAAAATTTTACTAGGGTAACCCTGTCGTGTAACTAATGAAAAATGTTCCTCTCGCAATTTTAGCCTTAAAAAACCCTAACCCTAACCTAATGTTAGTCTTTATCTTTGTTCGCTGTCAAAACTTAGTGGGGCACCATTTAGATTTTTCCTAATTTTATTATAATATATATATATATATATATATATACTTATTTATTTATTTATATAATAGATTTGACCAATTTGACCAGTTCGACCATTTGACCAGACCAATTTGACCAGTAAATTTTTGGTCGACCACTAATTTGCCCAGGGTCCTAAAAAAATGAACCTGATCCTAATTACCGGAAAAAAGCAACTGTTACACACATTTGTATTTGGATTGATATTAATTAAACAATATTTGACTGTTGTACGTATTAGATCAGATATCAAAGACTTAGCATAAATTTTTTTTATCGTGTTTGTGGGGATATAAAAAGGTTATGGATCCAAGTACTCGCAAAAATGGTGCCGCTCGAGTACCGAAAACACAGAAGGCTAAAACTCCACCTACACTCAAACCAAAGCCTCCTAAACTTTCTGCAACAACTTCAAATAGAATTGATAGTGAGCCAAATTCATCATCCACTCCTAAACAATCGAATTCCAACACAATAGTGATTCGTGGACCAAATATTAATAGGCTGTCAAGCGTCTTTGAAGATCCAAACATAACAGCAGACCAAACGATTATCAAATCCCATGTCGCCCCGTCGCTTCCTTTATCACCAAAATTGCCTGTTCCTATGGTTAAGAAAACTTACATAAAAAAATCTGTTTCACGTGACAATGTTGCGAGTGATAAAAAGGCGAATATTGATGAATCTTCGTTAATATTTGACGATATCAAGGCGAAATTTCAACAAGCTGACGATGGTGATAATGCGGTGAGTTTACGGTTTGAATAATTTTAATAAATCTTATTTATTTATGATTATTTCAAACTAATTTTATTTCGGTGACTAAAAGATTCCTATTCAAACAAAAAAATTTGTCAGTAATCGCCCTAATGAAAGAGTAAGTACACCTACTAGCTCATCCAAACATACAAATAGTGTCAATATTAAAGAATCAGACTCATTCGCAAGTAGTGAAGATAGTGTCGATCTTGATTGGACATATATTAATCAGGTATTAGAGATGAATGAGGGAAATAGTTTAAATGATTCAGATACTATATCACAGCAAACGACATCAAATTCATCAATTAATAAAAGTCTTGGAAGAAATAATTCACATAGCGCCCAATCTTCAAAAAGAAATTCTATTATACCATCAAATGATTTTGAAGCAAAGAGAGCTAGTATTGCGAATTTACTTTCAGGGTCATCTCCGATTTTAGTACGGCCCAGGGAATTACATTTAGAAACGTCAAAAGCTTTACCTCCGATACCAACGCAATCTCCTTCACAGTCTCCATCTATAAAGGTTACGTCCCCTCTTTCAGATATAAATAGTGGATCTAAGAGTGAAATATCATTGACAAGTTTTTCAAGTGAAACAACGCTTGTTGAAGAGGATGAGTATTCAATTGATTTAAAAAGGCGCAGAAAGTTGTGGAATGTTATAAAAGAGTTAGTAGAAACTGAAAGGATTTTCTTTCAAGATATGATACTTCTGGAAGAGGTAACTTTAAATAAAAATAAACTTCAATTCCACTCTTAATATTTCTTCTAAATAATTTTTCCTATAAGGTGTATTATATACAAGCGCAACAAATTCCTATTTTCAATCCATATGACTGTAAAACAATATTTAGTAATCTTTCGGATATAATAGACTTTTCGGAGCATTTTTTAAATTTATTGCTTGTAGCTAGTGGAATTGGAGAGACGGATGATGACCCCGGTAAACATTATGAACATGAAAATGATAATACAGCTATCGGAGAGGCATTTGCACAGATGGTAAGAATATTGCTTACCACTTTTGTCATTAGGATTTTGATCTTTGTATTTATTTTAAACAGATGAGAAAGTCTCAGGGTGAGGACAGTAGGTTAGAAGCAATTTATGGAGAATATTGCAAACGGCATGAAGCAGCTGTTCAAAAACTTCAAGAATTCGATAATGATGAACAAGTTCAAGGATTTTTACAGGTTTTTATCTAAATTTCTTTTTGCCACTGTTTTACGGATAACATTTAATGATTAATCTTTTGAATAATATTTATAAGAAATGTAAAAGCCAATGTGAAGGTCGAACGAGAAGTTGGGATATTGCTAGTCTTTTAATTAAGCCTGTGCAACGAGTATTGAAATATCCACTCTTATTGCAAGTAAGAAAAATTTCCAATGCAGTAATGGATATTTAAATATTATACTTCGCAGATATTAGCTCATTTATTTTTTATGATATCACATATGTTTTTAGCAAATTTTATCACTTACAAAACCTTCGCACCCAGATTATGAGCATCTTCAATTTTCTTTTTCAGAAATTACAAAAGTTGCAGAACGTATTAATGAAATAAAGAGGCGCAAAGATATAGTTGAAAAAATTGTAGGGAGTAAAAAAAAGTCAGATGCAGATGTGAGTCTTTGTGTATTACATTTAATTGAAAGTGTATGAATATTTTCATTAAAATTTTTCTGTAATATACGCCTAATTGTTAAATAGGTCTTGTGAGTATTTATGGATCTTTATGAATACGTACGTCAGTTCTTTTTTTTTCGGGATTAGAATGTAATATATGCGTTGCTTTAGGCATGGTATTACGAAATCATTTACAAGAAGAGGTCAAATGGTAGGTGATTGTTCTATTGTTTTAATATTTGATTCAAAAATACTAATATTTGAATAATGAAATCCAAAAGATAAAGCATGCTACCGGTATTGCAAAACCTACAGAAGATGAACTTTATAAAGCTTATGTGGCCAAGTTTAAAACTTTAGAGCAAAAAGGAATTCAATTAGCTAAGGATGTGAGAAATTGGGTAAAGAATGTTAAAAGTGAGTACAGGGAGTGACACGTATTTACATTGCATATTTATGTTATTTTATTATTTCTGCAGTGTTTTTTGAAGACCAGCAACGCTTAGCAGCTGCTATCGAAGACTTTTATATATTAGGGGTTGCTGCTAATAAAAATTCGGATGATTGTGTGAGAATTGTTGAATATGGAAAGGCTATTAGAAGCTTTTCATTATCTTGTGGAAAGGAAATGGTATATAGTAATGTTTGCAAATGCATAAGTGTTTTATAAATATATTGACTAATGTATAAACAATGATAGGAAGACACAATCAAGAAAATAATATATCCTCAAATTGAAAAGATTTTGGATCACTTTAAAGCACCTGCAGCTGTAATGAAGAAACGAGAACGAAAGATTTTAGATTATGACCGAGCAAATTCGATTAAAGCTAGAGGTGCAACGGTAATTAGCATATTTATTTTTTTTTACATGCAATGAAAAACTTATGTTCTTTTAATAACTGGAAATATTTATATTCAGCCCGACAAAACGCTCCAACAATCTGCAGACGCTTTTAAGTCGATTTCAGATCAATTGCACGAAGAATTGCCCTTGTTTTTTGTTTACATAACAGAATATTTTGATATAATTGTGCAAGAATTAATTAAAATTCAAGCTAAATTTTACCGTCAGATGGATATGGATTTCCGACAATATTTTTGTAAATATGTAGACGTAGAGGCTCTACAGGAAATATCAGATGACAGAGAATTGGTTTTGAGAGATATAGATGTAACTACAGAATATACAAATTATTTCCATGGCTCATTGGGAATGGAAGACCGATTAAGTGAATTGGTTATTTTGAATAATAGGCAAGGTATGTCTAATCGCGTCCATTTATCTGATAATGACCATGGCAATTATTGCATGGTGTGGCAATATTTAACATTTATATGTCATCTTCATTCTTTAACATTTTCAGATTTTACTGAAGGTAATGACAGACACAGAAATGGCCAAAGATATAGTTTTTCAGAATCGCTTGGATCTTCAGGCTCATCAAAACAAGCTGATGATTCACAAAATCGAACAGGTAACAGTCAAAGTGATATGATATCCATTTTAGAAGATAATTAACTAGAAACTGATTTTTTAGAACGATCGTCATCATGGTATTCGGATAATTCATTAAATAACAGAATACAAAACTCCTTCGGGCTTGATGATTCAGATTATGAGAATCGATCAAAAAACTTTTTAGACGATGGTTTTAATTTCCAAGAAATTAAAAAAAGATCGCAACAACGATATAGTGCTCACAAAAAATATGCTACTGATGGTGCTATAGATCATCGATCACTAGAAGAGGATGACGATGATGATGTATTTCATGATTCCTTGACCGGTGAGGAGGATGACGAAACCCTATTTTTATGTCAAACTATCCATACAAATAATTCGAAAGAAAAAAATGAATTAAACTTTAAGCCAGGAGCTTTGCTCAAAATTATATTTATCGATGAGAGTGGGGATTGGTGGTTTGCGGTCAATGCAGATACTGGAGATAGAGGATGGGTAGATCCGGCTTTTGTTGAGAGGATTGGTTAATTTTTTTTTTTACACAAAAAAAGCGGAGGGGTTTTTTTTTCAATCGATCTATATTTAGCATGTATAGATGTATAAAATCGTACCAATCGTACTAAATTAGTTTTTTATTTTGAATCCTTTTATTAACTAATTTTATAATGTATTTATAATAACAAGTAACTTCTATTTATTGTTAATTTGTTCATGTTACAAGATTATTTTTTTATTTTTTATAATTTTTTTTTTTCTTATGTATTATATTTCGTATACCATAGAAGATTTGAATGGTGCTAGTTACCCTAATATATTTTTTATATATGTAAATTATTAATCAAATATACAAGAATCATAAATAAGTTAATAAAGAAATTTATGTATTTAATTGTTTAGATAATATATAGAAAAAATAATTTCTTTACAAAATCTTTTCAGCACTTAGGCTTCTCTGTATCACTTTTTTAGTGACATCACATCCCCACTCAACTATTTCTTTCTCTTCTTCTTCTAGAATATCTCCTGTTTTAACAAAATGGTGTAAAAAGAACATTATTCCTTGCGCCAATGTTGGATTATGTACCACATTTATGAAAATTTTGACGAGTAATTGTGGATTACGTTTGTTCGCATTTTGAGTTAAAATAATGTGTGAAAAAAGGAGTTGAAAAAATAAACGACTTTGAGATTGCAATTTAGTAAAAGTGACAGTCTATACAAACAGATAAATAATTAGATTAATTTATTATTAAATTTACTAAATTTAAAGTTTTACCTTTAAAATTATAACAGACAATCCTCCATTCACAATTAACCATGCAAAAAGCTTTGCCAAATTAACAATCCTCCTTAGTGAAATTTTTTCAGATTGGTCTCTTGATGGCATGCTCTTCATCATTATTCCACCCACATCACTTTCACCACATTCTCTGAGAAAGTCCCACAGACAGTATTTAAAAGTTATTTTAAAACTGTGATCATAATCGCAGAGACGTTGTGCAATTAGAGAATAATATGGATTATGAATGTTTTCCTGCGAAGAAACGTATTTTATCAGTATTGTTTTAATAAATTTATGAATTTTATTAAAACGCACCTATGTATATATTATCTCAAAAACTGGCTAATACGAAAATTTTGTGTTGAATTTTCAAAACTTAAATAATAAAACATATGATAGTGCAAAACCACCATAGGTGCGTTTTATAATAAATGTAAATTGATATATATATAAATACATTGCCGCAGCAGTGGAGCAAGACTCGAGGAATCTCCCGCGCTTGGACTTCCTTTAAACCAAGTTTCAACAGTCTCTCAAATGCATCAATATAATCCTAAGTATTTAAAATTAGATTATATTATGAATGATCGGGAGAATCATGTACCATTTACCTCACTACTCATTAAAACTATAAAAATGCTTCTTCGAACATCAGTATTCATTTTTTGTTGTTTAGCTAAATTTAAAAGAACCTCAGAAACAGAGCTATTTTCCGGATGTCGGGTAATTAATGTGGATTGGTTATCAATCGTATTTGCAGTCCATGACGAACCAAGCCACCATTTGCCTTTAAATAAAAAATGTTAAATAATGGTTATGCAAGAAAAACAAAAACATTAACATACCTTTAGTATCAATTGACCGAATATCTTCAAGACTAACTCTCAAAGCTTCAGTTGCTTGAACTTTGGACCAAAATAAGAGATTAAGATATTGGATGACAAACCAAGCAATTTACGAACAGTTTATATACCATGAATCCTCTTTCCTAAATTTGCGAGGAATTTCTTCATTCTTAATAAGCATTCTGTATTTATAGCTAAAGATTGCTGTTTTAAGCGATTATTTTTTAAATTCATAATTGTTTCAATCATGAATTTCGTACGAGACCTGTTTATTAAGGAGTGTTGGTTCCAATTTAAAATATGCATAATTAACAATCAATGACCCTTACCCGAAACTCTTTGGATCTTTCTTATTTATTTCGATCTGAACTTGTTGAATGATTTCCTTCAAAGAGGAAGGATCGTCTTGTTTAAGTTGATAACCTGAATCTTTTTATACAGTTAATATAAATGTTGATATTACACCCATTGAATCCAATAACGACTTACTTCTAACAATTTTCAGCAATAATTCCACATTCAGATCAGTCAAATCCATGATAAATACCCGAATTATATCATATATCAATACGCATGAAACAACTCGGAAGTTATAGAGTTCGGATATGAGAACAATTAAGTTGATACACTCTTTGCCACCATTACAATCAACGTCTTTTGTGTCTATTGATCTATTAAATTGGCCATGGAAACCCTCAAATTCTTCAATAAGGGTCTGTATGAAATTTGCACCTTTGATAGAAGGAAGGAATAATATCATGAACATCTATTGAGTTGCAGTCATAATTTAAAAAATACTATGATTAATGGCCCAATATTTAAACCTACAAAAGTCAATCCCTATAGTTTTATACAATGCGGCAACAAAAGCAGCATACAAAATTACGAATTGATCCAAAAGCATTGTCTTTGATGAGATCATATTCAAAACGAGTTTTGTAAGTGTCGATATCACATCTGCCATTCATTAAAAAAATATATTATAAATATATTAAGAAGAGTTATAAGAAAATAAATTAATTATTATTAAATAGGATACCGTGTCGTATGTGCTTGTCATATACTTCTTTTATGCTCACAATTATATTTTCGATATTAGATTCACTTAATCTGTAGTACAATTTGTGATTAATTATACGGACCTAAAATGCACTAAAAAGTAGAAATATAAACACCTGTTCAGTAATCCTTGAAACTGGCGTTGTAACCGTATTTTTTGTTCTGATTTAATTTTATCAGTCTCTGCAACATTTAAGGTTGCAACTTTATCACGAATATGTGGTGGAAGATACTTGTCTATAGGAGTTGGAATACAATTAGTTAACTCTTTTATGAATCCATTATACATGGGTTCTAAAATATTTTGTCCTGAATTTGGTGTCAAAACTAGGGTTGGGAAACAGTAATGTGATTTCAATCATCGCATGGGCACAACGTTGTGATACTAAGTCATCACATGTAAACGACTAGTTAAATGTGACATTATTTAGCATCACATCTGGTGCCCCATGTGATCAGAGAAGATTTAGTTTGTTGAGATGAATATTTCAAGAATGTTTACAGCTGATTTGAAAATTAGTGGGACACGTCGTCACACATTTTGGTAATTATAGCTATCGAAATTACAGACAGTTTTCGATAATATAAATTTCGGCCGGTACATTACCTCTTATCAGCCGAAATTTATTATCGAAAACTAAACTACCGAAAAATAGTTATCGACGATCACAAATTCATCACATGTTCAAAATTTCAAATCACTGTAATTTACAAAAATGCCTCCTGATGGATCGGCGGTATTGATCCTGATAGGGTAAAAGAGAAAATACTGCTCCTGAGAATAACCTACAAAGCCAATTTCTCTCCATATGGGGCCTTTGCCTTGAAAATGACCTTACGGTACATGATACCGTAAGGCATTTTCGAGGCAAATACCTCATATAGTGTTTAAATCCTTATCGGAACAGTATGTAAATTGATATTTTCTTATCCCATCAGGAATAGTACCGGCGATCCATCAGAAACGCAAATTTTGAGATAGAAAAAATTTTGGCGCGTCAAAAATAGTTTAGTATATCGACTGGCCAATTGAAAATAGCCAAACTTTGGCCAAGGGCTTCCAATCAAATTGCTGACTTTACTATACACGTCACTCTGGTTATATCGACATTTTTTAAAATTTTGAACCTATATGGGGGAGTGTCAGTAGAAATCAAGCAAATTGTTTTTAGTAAGTTTTTTTTAAAACTATAAATTAAAATATCTCAACAACTATTTAAACCAAACTTGATAAATTTTTTTATTTTAATTCTATAACTAAATAGAATTAAAATAAAAAATTTTTATCAAGTTTGGTTTAATAGTTGTTGAGATATTTTAATTTAAAGTCTAAAAAAATTTACTTAGAAACAATTTTCCTGGTTTCTACTGGCACCCCCATATACTTAATATGAAGATCATCTAGTTAAACCGACATCTGGATGTATCGAATAATCTCTTTGTTGTTGGAAAGTGTTAGTTAGAGTGGCGTGTATAAAAAATATTTGGCGAATGACCAAACATGTGGCCATTTGACTCATTACGATGATATCACATGTGACCATCACTATTTGATTTGTGATAATTGAGTTGAACAAGTTGAAATCGGTTTAATTTTATATTAAAACCGTTTGAACCCGGTTTTATGTATAAGAAATGGTTGTACATACACACCTGAGTCAACTTTCGTGACGTGTTCAAGCTGCTGATCATCAAACTCTTCAATAGTCACATCGACTTCGCAAAGATTGTCTTCATTCAATTCACCTATTACACCGAAATCCTCAAAATGTTCTGATTTCTCTGTTTCAAAAGTATCATCATCCTAAGAAATAATCAAAATAAACATAAATTTCGATGCAAAGCTCCAAAAAATAGGATTTCAGAATTCACCTTAACTTGCTCTGAACCTGAATCCTTCAAAAAATTAGCTGATTTCGACCTTTTAGAGCCGATCTCAAATCCTTCTAGTAAACCTATATATAATATAACAATATAGGATTAAAAATAAGAAAAAATGCGTTTGGCACCGGTGGTAACATTAACCGAATCAAATAGAAGTAAGTTTATAACATGGGGAATTGACTAGGAAAACTCCTATCTGAAAGCAAGTGTCAGACGGTGGTTTTCCTTGTCCATTCTCCACATAGGAACGGGGTTAGGGTATAGTATACTTTTGCAAAGAATTTCTTTGTTACATGTGAAGCGATATGACAGGTCATTCTCACCCAGTGACTGTCACCCAATGTTTAAAATCTGATGTTCTCAGCATTTCTAAGAACATTACACAATTTTTGAGAACATAAATTATTAAAATATGTTAAACAAATTTTTAATCAGAGCATTAAAAATTTAAAAACTTAGTGTATTTTGAGAATATAAAATCAGATTTAAATTTTAAACACTGGTCGCCCCCAAATGAAATATATTTTATTCTAAAAATGTATACCGTCTAATCCATCTTCAGCAAAGGCTTTCGTCAATTTGCCACTCGATTTAATTCCTAATTTTTTTTCTAAACGCCTGATTTCAAGTTCTTCTGCATCCGAAGATTCAGCAGGCTTAGAAAAAACATCGAATTTTCGTGTAAGTCCTCGACGCCTTCGATGCCCTTGACGTTCAACCTTATTAGAATGTGTCGTAGTATCCAGCTTAGTCCTTGTCACCAAAATTGGCGCAGTTGGTTTCGAATTGCGTTTTCGTTTAATTACCATAATGTACTTCTTTTTATTGGGTCGACATGCAAAGTTTGATTTTTATATATCGAGATATTAGTTCTAATTGGTTTGAATTATAATTCACGTGCTTTAAAGTATTTTGGAGATTAAAGATTTGCGCAAGCAGGGACCCGAAAAAATTGTTTTCCATAATGTTTTTGGTTATGACAAAAAATGTTTTTATTGCGATATAAAACTTATAACCAAAATACATTATATTTAGCATATGAGTGCTGTCAATAAAAAACTGTCATCGAGCTTTCAATGTTGGCTTTCTGTGTGCCGTCTATGGACAATCTATCATCGGCCATAAATAGCATGCAGAAAGCCAACTGAACATTGAGAGCCCGATGACAGGTTTTCTATTGGCAGCACTCTTATTATATTTAGCATTTATAAAAAAAATCTAAACTATTTTGAGATTTACTATCTCTTGTTGATTGTAAAACGAAGCATAGAAGAAACTCGCATTTTTACGGAAAATCATAGGTTATGTGATTGGCTAATTTATGTAGATCCAAGCATGATTATTGACCAATCAAATTAATTAAAAATTCTGTCAGGGAATATGTAATATATGAGTTTTTTTCTTGGGGGGGTTATGGTAACCTCTATGGCCAAAAACTTTTTATTAAATTGTAATCTTCAGGTTACAATTACAATAAGAGTATATTAAGCCATATATGCACTTTTGGTATCTAATTTAAGTTAGTAAGAAAATTTTTCTTAATTGGTTAACTGAACCAAATTATTTTTATTTAACTAGTTGCCAACCAATTAAGATTAATACTTCACTACTTTTAGAAATTCTCAAAGCTTATTCTAATTCTTGTTTATTTATTTATTTTTTTAGAACTTTTTAGAATATTTATTCTTTTCTTATTATATTATTTGTTTTTTTTAAATCCTGCCAACTGGCTATACCAGATTAATCGATTAAAAATTTTTTTAATCAGTTACCCAAATTTATTCTGTTTGGGTTGGTTAACTGATTATATCTCAACCAATTCAAGTTACTAATTTAAGTAGTCTGCTCGAAAGTTTTATACTATCTGCTATATTTGTATCTTAACTATAAAGTATCTATTTAAACTCTCTAATTACAATTGCTATCTGCTTTTAATCTAATTAAGGTACAACTCACACAGGTTGAATCAATGAATAACGGGTACAAATTGGGAGACAAATCTCCCAGAATGTACCCGTTATTCTACCATAGATCTGCCAAATAACTGTAGCATCTCGGTAGCATATTGAAAGCATATAGGTTGATATCGGGAAGTAGATCGATAACGGTAACATAACAGTAACATATCGGAACATCCTGATATCTTACTTTTAGTCCAAATAGTGCTAAGAGTAAGATATCAGGATGTCCTGGTATGTTACTGTTATGTTACTGTTATCGATCTACCTCCCGATATCTAACCTATATGCTATCAATATGCTACCGAGATGCTACAGTTATTTGGCGGATCTATGGTAGAATAATGAGTACATACCAGGAAATTTGTCTCCCGACATGTACCCGTTATTCATTGATTCAACCTGTGTCACTATTCATAAGCTAGGTTTTGTAGTACCTGTAGATTTTATACTTATCTTAGAACTTACTTCTACTTCTGACTAATCTATCTACAAAGTAAATCTAATAGAAAAAAGTTCAAATATTACTAACAATCGAGAGTATAGTTAGGTAATTTTTTAATATTTTACATAACCAAAATGATGAATTTGATAAATTTATTTTTCAAGTAAAAGCACATATATTTAAATATTATAAAAAAATTTTATACTTAATAAAAAAAATGCATTTTTATAAAGCTTTAATTAAAATAAAAATTTGAATTTTTTTTGCATAATAAAGTATATTGGTACTATATAAGTACATGAAAATTATACAAAGTATTATGTATTTTTATTGCTATCTTTCTATATTTATAGAAGTGTATAACTTTTTTTTTGTATTTCAAAATACTTCAACCAATTTTTTAACTTGTATTAATTTGGATCTTATATTTTCAAGAAATTTCAAGTAATTATGAAAAGTTTTCAATTTATTAAGAATATGTTATACTTAATTTAAAAATAAATAAATAAAGTTATTTAATTAACTAATATCTAATTCAACCAATTCAAAGTATAAATAAAATTATAAAAGTTTATTTCAGTTAAAACTTGGTATAGTTATATATACTTTTATTCATAAGATTATCATTGTTATTACTTGTTTTATAAATTTTTTGTATAGTATTTATAGTAAAGGGTTCATTATTATCATTATTAATTAAATAATTATAATTATAATAATCAAGTTTTTTAAGATTGCAAGCTAAATGAATTTCTTGCTAAAGATTGTAGATACTGAAATTAGTAAATATCTTGAATTATAAAGGATCTAAATTTAATTTTTATATATTAATTAATTTAAAGCAGATTTTAATTATATAATTATTATTTTTTAATAATCCTAATACTAGTATATACTTTGTAAAAAAATTTATTTGGCTTTGAACCAATTGGAGTTACCAAATGCTTGCATATACAAAACCAATTAGTTGCAAAATAAAGACAGAAGCAAACCTAGTAAGTATAATTTGTTAAATATTTGTTAAAGTCACAAGACCATAATGCTAACAAATTCTACTCTTTTTAAAATTCTTTTTGCTATGAAGTAAGCTAACATCTATAGTATAGTAATTTAAATATATTGACTTGTTGATTAATAATCTAAATATTAATATAATAAATAATTTTTTTTTTGGTTAATTGTGAATGGAGGATTGTCTGTTATAATTTTAAAGGTAAAACTTTAAATTTAGTAAATTTAATAATAAAT